ATTTTGTAGTATGAAAAACTTTAGCTCTATTCCAAATTTCTTGCATATTTTCTAAATTTATGTTTGCAGTGTACTTGTTGGCAACATTGTATTGTTGGTTAAGCTTCTAAAGAAATCTCTAATACATTCAGAATTACAGGGGTTTCAGCAGCAGCAGCTGCCAAGGCATCTGAACCAACACAAATGCTTTAATTGTATATATTATCATTCTTCTGTTTTTGGTAAATTTCATATAATCTTATAATCTTAAAGTTTTAAAAGTATAAATTAATAATTGACTTATTAAGTGTAGGTATCTTGTTCCTGTAACTTTTCTTTTGACTAACTCTTGAGCTATGTTAGTATTAAACTTTATGACGCGCTAGCTATAAACCTGAAAATAGGACAACATAACGATTTAATACCTACTTTCCCCCTCAGTGACTAAAAAGCTGCATAAAAGAGATTTGAGAAAAATTTTCAAAATTGTAACATAAAATTAAGGATTAAATATTCTGATCTTTCTTTCAGCAGGCCACTTCAGTGCTAAAATGTGATGAAAAATTATTCAGGTGTCATCTGTTTTCAGCTGAACAGTATTCACTATACCATCCTTGGGGATTCAGACTGGAGTTCTACTTTTGAGGAATAGAACATAGCACAATTGATTAATAGATTGAATCTAAAATATCAAGACCTGGAAGGGGGCCATGCATATAGGATCAGGAGGAACTAATATCATTGATTGCATAACAGACTTGAGGAAGACTTGGTTTCACACTTTGCTGTGACAACACAGTAGTAGTTAATTATATGTGCAATTAATAATAGAGAAGCGGAATTCACGGTGAGAGAATAATCTCCTCTAGAAAATGTTCAGTCATGTTATTATCATGTTATGTTATGATCAGATAGTCAGAGAAATTAGAGTGGTGTCTGAGACACTCATATTTGGGAGTATCAACTTGGTATGTTAGTCCTTGCTTAAATGTATTCTGAAGCTACTTGGGATTTCTATCAAAAAATCCACATATGCAAGCAATATTTATAGAAATAACAGCCAAATAAAAATTACATCTAAACATTGCTTTGACTGGGAATATCTTGTAGCCAAGATTAAATGAACTAAGAACTACATGGCATATAAAGAACAGATGGTCCTTCTGCAGGCATATTGCATTTCAGATCTCCAAGATATCTGACCTCTGGAACTTAACTTGGCATAATGGAATGGTGTGATTTCTTTTTCTTTTTCTTTTTCTGATTAGAGACCCACTAGGCCTAGACTCTGGGCCTTCACATTCAGGCTAGAATTAAGCTAGCATTGCTAGGTCTGTTTCTATATTGATATATCACAGAAGTATAGAAACAATTAAACAATTCATCTAGGTTTTCATCCAGAAAGTGAGGTCTGTGTCTTTTCCAGCTCCAAACAGAAACACACAGTCCCTGAACTACTATCCATTTAGAATTGTGAAAACTCAGCTGTTGTTGTCATAGTGTTGCTATTTTCCTGAAAAATTTATAAGGGTCACCCAGCCAAAGCTAGCATGCAAAGAGTAGTTGCTGAACTGGCCATTCCTGTGTCTTCCTGTCTTTAAATGGCAACACATACTAAAAGCATCAAATGGAAGAAGTCTAAGCAGATCTCAGCAATATATAACTCATCTGATTTTTTCACACACGGTCAAAAACACAGTGAACAGTCAGCATGTCAGAGCTTCCTGAACAACAGGTGCACAAGAATCATGGGTTGGATTTTGTCTATGTATCATCAGTTGGCAATTCCAGACATTGTACCACAATTTTTAATTATAGTGTAAGAACTAGAAGAGTATCTATCTTCTAGTCTACTGTTTCAACAGCACTTTTACAATCTAGTTGTTGCTGAATTCAAAGCACAATCACAGGTCAGAGCCAAATTATTCAATTTTCTTCCTCATTAGGAATACCACACACAGCTGGGCTGCCAAAATCCAGGGACCCACTAGATAGGCAGCAAAGACAGACAGACAGACATTTTGACTCGTGGTTGTCTGGATTTTGGCAGCCCAGATCTGATAGCACTACTCCACATACTAAATCATGGTCACCATCATCATCATGTATGTACCTAGAAAGTATAGTTGTATAATTGTTAGAAAAAAAGAATGGGATTGTACTGACCAAAACCTTTAGTTTGTGTCCCAATTCAAAATTTTAGAAAATAATTAATTTGGACTTTTGTATCTGACGCATAATTTTCTTGCATTATTTGTGTGTATAAGTCTGTGTGTATGTATGTGTGTATCCACACACACACACACATACATGTACATTGTTCATAAATATTAAAAATACAAATAGAAAACCTGGATAAATCTTTTCACAGTATTCCTTACCGTCAAAACAATGATTAAATAAATAAGTTAATATTTGTTGATATCCTTTGCTTAATTATCACTGATAAATATTTAAAAAGCCTTCCATTCTGATTCATAATTATGGTTTCTTATATAAAAAGAAGAGTTAAATTTAAAAAGCAATTTTTTAGGGAGTAAAACTAAGTCTTTTTTTAATCCTACTTCAAATTTTATTCAGAATCCTTCATTTTTCTTTATTAAACTTTTTAAAAAGTGGGAAATCAGTAGTACTGGCATGAATTTGAATACATTTACAGTACAACAAAAGTGTACGTATTATATTCACAAAATAATAACTACAAACCACTATATACTGTAATATGTAAATGAAAAAGATTTCTATTTTTTTATAGATCTCTAGAAAAGAGACTGGACAGTGGCTTCTCAAGAATGGTTTAACTGATTGCAGAGAGTTTTGATCTCTTCTAGCTCTATGAATCTATTTTACTATGATTTAAAAAGAGAGAATTATGTCCTTGAAAATATATAGACAGACAAAACAGCTGAAAGAAGCTTGACCAAATTTCTTGAAAACCCTCTTCCTTGCAACTCTATTGAAAAAGAACCTGTTCAGATATCAAAAGAAAATTCATATTCACAATTCACTGGTAGCTGCTTATTCCTAGACTTAGGAATGCTAATGTCTTTCCTGCCTTGTCTAACCATTACTGTACCAGGCTTGACTATTTTCTCTCCTTAACCCCCTCTTGCCCAGTTTTCTAGCACCTGATCCACCTGATATTTGCTTCACTACCATCTACAGTCCAGGGTTGTGTTCTCCTTTCTACTCTTGGTAAATTTCTTCTCGGTCTTCAGCTGCCACAGGACTTTTCCTGATTTATCCCTCTCCTTGATTGTGGATTGTCTGGTTCCTGGTTCTGTCAGTTGCTTCTTCCTCTGGTCCATGTCTTGTCCAGTTGCTTCTCATTCCAACAGCATCTTCTGCTGAACCTAAAAGACCCCTCCTCACTTTTGCCTAGCAGCTCTGGCTTCTTTTTATATATACATTACTGTGCAAAAGTTTTAGGCAGGTGTG